GTGTGTGTGTGTGTGTGTGTGTGTGTGTGTGTGTGTGTGTAGCATGTGTGCTGGAGGACCACAGGTGTCTGGTCGCGGTGTCAGGGTGTTAAGAGGTCTTCCGCGAGGGGCCCCCTGACTTTCAGCATCCAGACGAAACCGAACAGAGGAAAGGTTGGCGAGGGTTACCAACACATACCCTGAGGGGTACTGGGGCAGTGGTGGACAAGCAGGTGCCTGTGTTGACAATAACCCTTCGTACTTGAACTGGAAACACACACACACACACACACACACACACACATGCTCACACGCTTCACAATAAATCCCAGAGAGTCAAGCGTAATTTGGAGTCTGATTGGAGTGAAGGCAGAGGGAATCCCCTTTTACACACACATCACAGGATCTTTATTCTTGAGGTCAAAGGGGAAAGGGAAGGAGAGGCACACAGAGTTAAATATTCTGCTCACTGTGTCTTGGTTTGTGGTTTGGGCTCACACTGACCATTCAGTCTACTTGTATAGATCACGCTTGTCCAATAAAATCAGCAAAATCCAGTTTCCTGTTTTCCTGTAATCGAAATTCAGGTGCAGTTTTGCTTCAGATTTTCATTTTTCTCTAAAACAAACAAACAAAAACCCCCACAAATACCTCTCTGTCTGTAAAGTCAACCCGTTTGGAGTGAATGTTAGTCAGGTGTACCGGTGCATGTCTGGGAATGATTATTTTGTTAAAAAGGAGGGGGCGGTGGCACGCAGAGGGAGGTCGAGGAAAATTGGAACAGCTGTTGATTAACATGAGTGCTCTCTCTTGTGTTTTTTTAAACTCTCCTTTCAGTAGAGGAAGAAGAGGAAGATGAAGAGATGATGGAGGCAAAGCCAGGCCCAGAGTTTGAGCAGCGAGATGACGACGAAAGCAAGGAAACCAAAGAAGGTTTGAAGAGCGCCACTGCTGACTCTAACGTGGAGGCTCAGTTCATTAAACAATATTTAAATGRTAAACATTGTGGCGTTTACCTTAGGAGCACATTTTGCAACAAGTCGACAAAGTTTCAAAGGAAAGGCAATATTATCTGGAGGAAAACCACTTAGCATGTTACCAATGCTATTTCTCAACCGCTATTAGTTGACCTATATTTACACACAGACTATTTACACCAGCTCAGACTACCTCAGAATAAATAAACAGTTAAACAGATGCTCAGATAAAAAGGTTTGCTAAACGTACCTTCTCTCCTGTCACAGCTTTTAAGTGATTGTCCTCGTTTGTCTTTAAGCTCATGCACACAGAGAGCTGCAGCACAGTATTCACACCATGATTTTTGCACAATTAAGAGAAACTCATATTTATGTTCATCCCTGCTAAAGTTTTGCACCAACATGTCTTTTAAAGGTATCATATCATGCTTTTAAAACCTTCTTTTTCACGTCTAAATCATTCATTTATGGTCTATTAAAATAAAACTGCAATGCTTTGGTCTTCATTCCTAGTTTTTGTTGCTCCACAGAATCCTTGCTTTCCTTGCTTTACCCCCGTTCTGAGTTGCACCTCAGAGCAAGCTGTTTTGGTGCGGTCTCTTTAAATATAAATGAGATATTTCACACCCCGCCCCCTCCAGGTCACTGAACGTTCAACTCCACCCCGTTCGGCCATGTTTGTAGTTTCATAGCAACAACACAGTTATCTACCGACTAAAAACTGTTTTTAAGATAAAATAAAATAAGATAAAACTTTATTGATCCCACAGTCTGGAAATTTGCACATTACTGCAGCTTAATACAAGAGAGGCTGAGAAGAATAATGAAAGATTAATAAAGGATAACAAACAAAACCCCACAATATACACATGTGATATATAGTAATGTACCAATGCATATATACACATATACATAAACACATATGCTTATGTATATACTTATATACACCGTAAAGTACAGTACAAAAATGAATAAATTTGAAGGTGCATATTAGTGATGGCAGATGGCAAGAAAGTATAAGGATGTCAACAACGTAGACTTGTCAATCCAGCCTTACATGTACAAGCCAGAATCTGACCCAGTGCAAGACACAAAGAATGACAAACCTGCAGAATCACGTCTTCAAACGAATGTGTCACAATGGTGCGTTATTTATTTACACACTCTATATCCTTACCTACACTGGGGAGCATAGCTAAACTAAAATATATGCATTTGAACTATTATTTAATTACTATTATATTATATAATTTACTTTTGTGATCAATAAAATATTTTTAATTGAACAACTACAATACACTCACACTCACTGTACAGATGTGAAAATGGTGCGTTATTTATTTACACACTCTATATCCT